CAATGGCTTTTTAATAGCTGGGGGCCCCCTCATTCATCTGCACATGCTGAGTTTATTTTGCCATTTGTCAAATTCTGACTCTAGGGGACCTAGGCTTGGAGTGGTTCAGGCTTCAAGATTGATGACCCGAGTGGAATGACAGGTCCCCCTTCTCTAAACAGGCGGCACTGCCAATAGGAAACTCCACGGCCCGCTCATCTCTGAAAGGTCCATTTCTCCACCTCTGCTGAGGCTGGAGATAAAATATTTATTCAGGATCTCACCAATATGCCACAGCCTGCCTCCCTGCCCATGCTATAGACGGTGAGCAAGCTTCTAAATGAGCATGAGGCTTAATGACTTAACCCAGGTTCCACTTTGTTACAGAGGAAAGGAAAAAATAAAAGGTTCCAGTCCTCTATTTGGAGAATGGATATTCCTTGGGTAAAAGTAGCTCTTTACTGAAGCTCGTGTTCCTCTAGCTGCTGCAGACAGGCCTTGAATATACACAGACTTGAGTAGGATGCTGGAGGAGTAGGGTGTTGAATAGAATCAAGCACAATTTTCTTAGGCAGGAAGGGACATTTCATAGAATCTTTAATTCCCAGGGTTATAAAATCTTAGAAATCTACCCAGTTCAAGCCCTTAATTCTTAAAACCCTGCTAGAACACTTCTGTCTATAATTCAATGCTTCCTGTGACGGCAAAATCATGACTTCATGAAGCAGATTATTCCTTGTATGGAATAATCTATTGCAAGCATTTCTTAGATAGGATTGAAATCTGTCTGTGTACAGCTTCTACCTACCCGGCCAAGACTACCCTGGAAATGCACAGAATACATTCATTGCTCTTCTCCTTAATGCCTTTCAGTAAAAAGACAGTGATCTTGTCCTCTTTGAGGCTTCTTTCTTCCAAATCAAGTCCTCAGTGGGCTGTTTCATGCTAGTCACTGGGGATGTGAAAACAACGGTGTCCAGTGAGAGATGGGGCCTGTGTCTTAGAAAACACACTTTCCTTTGCCATGCTGGTTGTTGAGGAAGACATCTGCCCATGCCCCTTCCAGTGTTTCTGCCCCTCTGCACATTCCCCTCCTAGCTCATCCCCAAGAGAGGACAGTTGCCACTTTAGGATCCAGGACACTCATCGGGACATGTTTTTCCAATGAGGAAGGCCTCTATGGGTGAAGTGTCCACAACATCTGTGTGATATCCCCTTTGCCATCTGGCTACTGTGAAGTGAGGAGGCCAGGCAGGACTGGAGTCCTTAGGGCAGGCTCAAATAGGCTTTCTCTGTTCTACTCCTTCTGTGCTTGCTGCCCAGTCAACCCTACTTTGTTGACCCAGGTATCTTGGAATTGGGAGCAAGAGGCCCCACTCTGGCTGTCAGCGTGTGAGTGTGTGTGTGCGTGTGCGTGTGCGTGTGGGTTATGTGTGTGTGTGCAGCCACGCTCCAGTGTGACTGTCAAGCACATTAAGGACTCACTCAGCTGTGAAAAGAATATCCTTGTTTATCTTGCCAGTCATCTTTGGGAATAACTTCCTACTTTGAAACTCCACAGTGCGGAGTAGATATTAGAAGGGTAGGATTCTGGAATTTATGGGTTTATGACTTAATACCATCTGTGTAGCACCAAACCCTATTCTAATCTTCAGTTTCTCTGTGCCTCTTGAAGTGTGACATGCAGAATTAAACTGAAAACCTACCTTGAAAAATAAATATGTGCTCTCTGTTTTAAAAAAATCCCATTTGTCAATTTTGGCTTCTGTTGCCATTGCTTTTGGTGTATTAGTCATGAAGTCTTTGCCTATGCCTATGTCCTGAATGGTATTGCCTAGGTTTTCTTCTAGGGTTTTTATGGTTTTAGGTCTTACGTTTAAATCTTTAATCCATCTTGAGTTAATTTTTGTATAAGGTGTAAGGAAGAGATCCAGTTTCAGCTTTCTGAATATGGCTAGCCAGTTTTCCCAACACCATTTATTAAATAGGGAATCCTTTCCCCATTGCTTATATTGTCAGGTTTGTCAAAGATCAGATGGTTGTAGATGTGTAGCGTTATTTCTGAGGCCTCTGTTCTGTTCCATTGGTCTATATATCTGTTTTGGTACCAGTACCATGCTGTTTTGGTTACTGTAGCCATAAAAAAGGATGAGTTCATGTCATTTGCAGGTACATGGAGAAAGCTGGAAACTATCATTCTCAGCAAACTAGCACAAGAACAAAAAACCAAACACCGCATGTTCTCACTCATAAGTGGGAGTTGAATAATGAGAACACAAAGACACGGGGGCATCACACAAGGGGGCCTGTCAGGGGTCAGGGGCTGGGGGAGGGATAGCATTAGGAGAAATACCTAATGTAGATGACAGGTTGATGGGTGCAGCAAACCACCATGGCACGTGTATACCTATGTAAGAAACCTGCACGTTCTACACATGTATCCCATAACTTAAAGTATAGTAATAAAAAAATCAGAGACATCAGAAAAAGAGGGAGCCCATGCCTTGCCTGCCAGAGACAGATGGGGAAGTGTCACTTGCACCCATTGGTGCCCCTCTTCCTTGCCCTGGAGGGAGTGGCTAAGGTGACTCGTAAATGTGTGCTGGGTCTCCTCTCTATCTTGGCTGTTGATCTGTGGGCAGTGATGAGAAGCAGCTTCAAGAAAATGAACTGGATGCGTTTAAAGAAATAATGTCAAAAGGTACACCTGTTGAGGCTCATTTGAGCGATGAGGGATTTGACCAACCTCATTCCATGGTGGCACAAAGCTTGTTGGTTCTGTGACTTTCTGTGTGTTTCTGGAACTATTGTTAATGTAATGACAGTGGTTTCTAATGCCAGAAAGGGTGGAAGCAAGCAATAGGTAAGAATGAAGAAGCAGATAAAGATTGCTGGATGGATAGCAGCATTTCAGGTCTCTATGTGTTTGGGAGAAAATACAGCAATAGCTATCGAAATTAAAAACGTATTACTGTTTGATCTAGCAATTCCTTTTTAAAGTATGTTTTTCATAGATGTACATGTGGGCAAAGATGGATGTGCAGGGATAGTCATTGTAGCATTTTTGGTAATATCCAAGACAGGGAGCAACTTAAATTTCCATCAGTAGAGGACTGGTCACATAAAATATGATCCATCAAAAAGATGGACTAACATACAGCCTTGATAAAGAATGATGTTCTTCTAGTCATGTTGATGAAACTCTGTTTGAGACATATTAAGGAAAAATAACTACAGAACAGTGCAGTTCCATTTATGCAAAATAAAATGGTCAATTCACAGACACAGGTGCTTATATATGTTTAGACTCTTCTGGAAGGATACACATCAAACTGGTGATACTGTCTACCTTAAGTTGGGAATGGTGATGAGGAAATAAGGAATAGGGAGAGAGGAGGCTTCGAAAATATGTCATTTTCATTATGTAAATGCATTATCATAAGCTGCACTATATTTCCAACCAAAGTAGTTTATAATAAAAAGAAAGCATATGCTTTCTGCACGTCTGCTAGCTGCTGAGCTTCTCATTGCCCCAGATATTTATTGAACACCCATTGTTTGCAGGATATTCTGTTAGCCCATTTGTGGGAAGAAGTGGGGAATATACGGTTCATGCTTTCAGGAAAACTACTGTCCAGATGGAGAAAGAAATGTGTGCATGCAGTTATTCTACAAGTCCGAGCAGAGAAAATGGAATCTTGATTAGGGAACTGGTGAACATTTTATGAAGCTGGCTTGTAAAATTTTGGTAGTGGAATTTTAAGCCTCACAAATGGATGAATGGGGCACAGAATTCCAGGTGGAAAGAAAAACATGAACCAAAGATATGGAGTGGTAAATGAAAAGCCATGTGGTGTCACCTTAAATGTACCTTCTCATCTACTTATTGTACTACCAGAAATACCACTTTCTTTTGGGTTAAGGCAACATTTGCTTTCAGGAGTCTTTGTGAGAATGTGGATATCGGCTTTTGATTGAGACATAAGAGAATAGATTCAGGGAGGGTGCTAGTAAGCCAGTCCACCCCCCTCCAAAATAGTTTGAATCTGTAGCATTTGCCTATTTCCAAGGGGTAAATATTGCCCCCATGACTGACTTCAAGCTACCAACACAGAATGGGAGTTGGGACGAGATGTGCATAATGGGTTCCTTTAAGCCCAAAAGAGCTCACTCCAGCCTGCCATGCCACAGGATGAATTAGAATCCCAGAGCCTTGGAAATAAAAGGAACATTAAAGAGAGTTTAACATAAACCTTAGCTACACATGAAGAAACTAATGGGTTTGCACAATGTCCGAGGAAGTGATAGAGTTGGAACATTATCCTCTAGTTCTTGGTTTGGTGAAGTTTCTACTTTTCCTTGGAAAGTACTCCTGTAATGGAGGGAATGGAACATGGAGCAGTGTAGTTTTGGTAGAACAAAAAAGGTCGTGAGGAAAAGCAGGAACCTTTCTCAGAGAGAGCAGGGTGGGGTTCTAGAATAGGTCTTGGTCACCAAGAAGGTTCTGTGAGCTGGGGAGCTGGGAAACAAGTGAAAGGACCACAGCAGGGAGGAGGGGGCACAGTCAGGAGAGGTTTCAGTGGGAGGGCTTGGAAGACAAAATTTCCAACTGCACAGTTTTGTTCAGGACTAACGTTTCTTCCCAGAACAGGGATGTAATGAGCTGACCTAAAATATGGGAAAGAAAAACTGAGCGAGTCCCATTCACATTCTTGATGATCTGTGCGCACTTGGGAAAGTCAGTTCTCCTCTGTGAGCATCAGAGTTTTCCTCCTTAAAGTGGGCCCCGGGAAAGGGGGCTGGTAGATGGCTTCCAAGAACCTTCCAGTGTGACAGTCTTTGGGGCTGTGAATCTGGTTGTTCAGTGAAGAAGCCCCAACAACCATTGAGGTAAGGAGTTGGGGAGAATGGGTGCAGCAAGGTGCATTGACTTATTTTTTAAATTTATACCCAGTTTGGGGTAGACAAAGAGAAATCAGAGCAGCAGAAGGCAAAAGTGAGGTTTGTTTTTGAGTTTATAGTACGGCTAGGAAGTAGAAAATGGATCAAGGGAAGAACAGGACAGGGAATCCTCTTTGTTATGTCCTGCATTTAAAAAATGTGGCAGCCCATGCTGTTCTTCAGTAGAAAGTCATTGCGTTCAGGGCAAGGTTCAGGTTCCTTTGCATTGTCATAGAGCTCTCCATTTTCTGCCCTTGCCTACCTTCCCAGCCTCCTCTCCTGGGTCCCTGACTCCTACCTCCCTGTCACCTAACCAACACTAATCAAGCACGCGTTGTTTGCTAATAACCTGAAGGTTAGGGGTCCTAGCCTTTGCACAGACCTCTAACTGGAATGCTTTTCACCACAGTATCTGCTGGGCAGACTTCTAGTCATTCTTCAAAATCCTGTTCTAGCACTTCAACATCTTTCTTAAGCCTTTCTAACATGACAGCCTCTTCCCTGACCTGCCTCCAGATGGAGAAAATCACTTCCTTCCTGAGCAGCTGCTTCTGTAGGCATGCCATTTTAACGGCAATACTGCAATTTCATCGCAAGTTCTGTTTTTATCTCCCCCATTTCCCTGTGAACTTCTCAAGGGCAGGAAAATTCTGTCTTGGTTCCTGAGGGTAAAATGAGCTGAATGGTGACTGGCTCCCAGATGCTGGTAGAATAAAGGGGATAAGACTGCTCCTGCAGCCACCCCCGTCCCCATAGCTCCACCCTGGGAAAGAGAGAGCAGGGCATGCCAGGCGATGCAAAGACTCTTGTAAAGGCTGACTGGGAGTGCTGGTCTGCCAAGTCCCTCAAATTGTTTTTAGCTGAGCCCCTAAGGGAACTTGAGTGAAGCTCTGGGTGGGCAGGAGGGTTGCAATGCCATCATAGAGTGAGGTAGTTGACAGTCCTGCCCATGGGGGCTCCGTGCTGTGCTCCAGTAGAGTCTCCCCAACTCTCTGGAAATGAGGATCTTTCCTGGGATCCCACACAAATTCAGCCCTCTGCTAAGGGCTGATGCAGATGCGGTGGTACATCACTCAGATCCCAATTCAACACAGAGAGACTTACTCCTAATGTCTCTGTTTTCCTCTCACAGGTGCTGTTCTCCAGACCAGGCTCTAATCAACTGGTTCCATGCTAATCTCCAGCCCAGACTCAACCTACAAGGATGCCAGTCTGCTGCTAAGAGCTGCTAAGATTAGTGGACTGGTCAGAGTTGGTATAGCCAGGTGATGATCTCTAGGGACAGTGGTAGGAACTGAGACTACAGGCAGGAAGGTGATGTCAGCAGAGCAACCAAGAGAGTCACAAGGAGAACTGGCATCAACAGAGGTCATTAGAGTGCTGCACAACCCTGGCCACCAAGCATCAGCCTGTCATGGCCATCTGAGATGCTTTTAGATGCCGTGGGGAGGTGGTGGTGGGAGTGGCTCATACTTTAGATATCACACTGGTGGGGGCTCTCACCAGCATGGATGCTGTGATGCATGTTGGTCGGGTATGGCCATATATTAGACTCACTTAAAAATACTCATTCCAGGACCATGCCTTGAGAGAGATCGATGTAACTGGTCTGTGGTAAGCTCTAGGCCTTCCTATGTTGTAAATGTTCACTGGGGATTTCTAACATGCAACGGGGATTGAGAACTACTGGCATGGTGAAAACATGATGAGCACTGGAATCAGAGTTGGGTTTGAATCTGGTCCTATCAGTGACTGGGGAACTACAGGCTGTGATGAATTATTCTGAGCTTCCATTCCCTCATCTGTAAAAATCATTAAATAATGGGTATTTCATAGAAATGTCATAAGGGTGACATGCTACTAGTAATAACACTGATGGTATTAACAGCTTTCAGTCCATGGAGCTTTTTATGATCAACATTATTACGATTTATGTTCAGACTTAGCATTTCGTCCTTCCTTCTCCAGGGTGTAGCACCCTATGGTAGACTTGCCTTCCTTAGCCCCTACTCTACTGTGAGGGAGTCCTCTCTCCTTGCCCTGGTTGCAGCTACCAAGGGTTCAGCAAATCGGCTGCTGCAGCTCAGTGGAAAACCAGTGACTCTCGTGGGACTAACCAGATGACCAAACACTGGCACCCATGATCACACTCTTGTTCACACTCAGAATAACTCATGCAGCAGTTCAGCCCTTCAGGATGACACTGGTCAGTGTGTGGCTGCTATGTGCAAAAGCAGGTAGGGCAGGGACTGCTCATTCACAGGAGCAGCAAGAAGGTTCAGGAAGCTTAGAGGACTTCTTCAGAATTGTACTGGTTGCTGTGTGACTTTGGACAAGTCATTTTTCCTCTCTGTGCCTCAGTTTCTTGCTCTGTAAAACACAGGTGGCTCATCTGGACAAACAACAATTCTATTCAGTTTGATGCTGCTGCTTCTGCGACTCCCTATCTACCCCAGGAGATGCCCTGGGGGGCTGGCATCATCTCTGCCCTCTTCCACAGAGACTCCGATGCTACAGGGTGGGGCTCTGAGAAACGCCACTTCAGAGCAGGGCTCTGAGGGTCTCTTCTGGTCACTGCCCACACTGGCTTTCCTCACTCCTGCCCCCCAAGGGTTATAAGTTTCCCCATTTCTCCTCCTGCCACCTAGAACTTTAAATAGCCTCCAGCACACTATGTGGCTGCCAGAAGTTGTAATTAAATAATGTCCAGCTGTCAGGAAAGCTGTTATAAATGGTCCTTTTGTCTGCACCACTGTCTGGGAAACCAGGAAGGGGAGAAACTAGGGGGTTATAAATACGAAGGGCAGAAGTTCAGTGGGGAGCCCGGGGAAAGCAGCTTTTAGGGACCCTGAAAACACTGGAGGAATTAAAAGAAAAATCGTAATTAGTCTATGGCAGAGGCCCCAGCTCTGGTTCTATGACTGGATTTGCACATTGGATAGCCTGAAAATAATTTGGAAGCTAATGTCTTTATCTGGAGCTGATTCTCTCAGGCTGCAATTAGCATCTCCTTTTAAAATCCAGACAGGAAAGCAAACAGGGCACAGTGAGTGCTGGCAGTCCAGAGAAAGTTCTTGGATCAACTTTCATTATTTTTCACCTCCTTTTTTTTCTTCCTTTAGTCCTTCCTTCCTCTCTTTCAGCAAACACACTTGAATCCCTGCCCTTACTAGCCCCTCTACCTCTAGAGTTCCCGCATTTCACCTTCCACCCCCACAGCCACCTTTGTTGGTGCCATACCTGAACCTGTCTCCTAGGGGTAGCCCAGGATCTAAGTCCTCTCTGCATCAAAATATGCCCATGCTAGGAGCCACTTGCACCTTCTTTTTGTGCTGCAGAATCTGTCACTGGATCTCTTGGAGTGCCCAGATATTTTTCTCTAAATGAGGAATAGGGAGAGAAAACGTACGTTTATTGACCATGTGTTAAGTATTAAATAATTTATGCACATTACTCCACTTAATTTTCCCAACACTCCTAGAAAAAAATTGTTATGAAGTCCAGTATTGTAAACGAGGAAACTGAGGCTCTTTGAGATGAAACAACTTTCCCAAGTCACACAGCCAGTAATTAAAGGACTGGAGATTAGAAAACTCAGTCTCTAAACTCCACGAGGGCAGAGGCAGTGTCTGTTTTGTGCATTGTCTTGCTAGAGCACTGCATGGTGCCTGGCACATAGAGACCTTGAGAAATAGTCACAGAAGAAATAAAGGAAAGGGAAGAAGGAGAAAGGGCAAACCAAATAAGCTCTGTCAGACGCCAAAGCCAGTGATCTTTCCATCATGGCATATTGTCTTTGCAGAGTACAGACAGGCAGTTATGAAGTAGAGAGATGTATGTAATAGTTGGGGGAAAGTGATTCTTAAAATATGTGCAAAAATAATATGATTCGAAAGCAGAAGATTGGTTTCAAGGATCATCGGGGAGGTGGAGTGAGAGTACCGTGGGGGTTCAGAGGCTGGAGGGATCGCGAGCAACTGCAGGAATGGGCGGACTTCATGAAGGAGGCAGAGTTTGAGCCTCGAAGGATGAGTAGGATTTGGACACAGAGAGATGGTGGTCAGGGAAGGTTGAGTAGACAGAAGGGATGGGGAGAAACATAAATTACCTGTCAGGAAGGGGATAGACCAGTGGTCAGGCATTTGAGTCTCCATGGTGTCCTTGCGTGGCTATTAGAGATGAATCTGGCTGTGAAGTCCTCTATCTGGGCATTCTGAGACATCCGCTGACAGATTCTACAGCACAGAAAATGTGTGGGTGACTCTCAGGATGGGCGTATTTTGCTAGGGAGAGGACTTAGATCCTGGCCTGCCCCTAGGAGACCAGGTCAGGTGCGGCACCAACAAAAATCGCTGTAGGGTTGGAAGGTGAAGCACAGGGACTCTGGAGAGAGAGGGGCTAGTAAGGGTGAGGGCTTTGACTCCACTTCTGCTCCTCCTGTGTTCCTTAGCGTTCTGCAACCTGCCACCCTGCCTCCCAGCCACCCAGGGCACCTGACTAGTGCCCGGGGACAGTGAAGTGTTGTTGAGGCTGTTGTTGAGCTATTTTTTTTTTTCTCTGCTGGACATGCTCTGAGAGCAGCAGAAACATAGATCATGGAAGAAACAGCCCAATGGTTTGGGGGATTATTAAATAATTATAGCCAGTGCACTATACCTTTATGGACAGGCTGCCTGGCAGCATCCTCAAAGGCCAGATGGGAACTCATAGGACCATTTTAAGAGATGTGAATGCTCATAATGAGAAGGTCTGCGGTAGAACGATTCGAGGTTCCTCGATAAGAGCCCTTTGTACCAAAACACAAGAGCCCAATCATCACTTTCTAGGGCTGGGGCAAACTCTTGACCACTACAAAAATTTGGCTCTTTCGTTGGTGGGGAGACCTTGAAGCCAGCTTTAGAGCAGGTGTTATAGACACTTCTTTACATGAGGGATTCCAGGACAGGATGGATATCAAGTGTGAGTGGGGATTCTGAATGTAATATATCTGCCATCAGGACTAGGCAAGGGCCCTGCTACTTGGACAGGCAGCCTTGAGCACATCTCTAATTTCTTCTGGGCCCTGGTTTTCTATTCACAAACATTCATTCAAGAAGTACCTTGTGAGGACCTGCTGTATGCCAGGTAGGCTCTGGGGGACAGGCAGCAAACAGAAGTCCATGATCTCTGTCCTCATGGAGCTTCTAGTCTAGTGGAAATAAACAAGTAATCACACAAATGAATTCTTATTGCAATTTGCAATAAATGTTATGATGGGGAAAAATAGGGTGCTACGGGAGAAACTTTTAGAGTGGGGAATCAGAGAAGACCTCTTTGAGGAAGTGACTTATAGCTGATACCTGAAGGGTAAATTATCTGAGTCACACTTGGAGGAAGAGCTCTTGCAAAGGCCCTGTGGAGCAGAATAGATTCGTATACTTGAGGAGCTGCAGTTAAGCCTGCATGGCCAGAAGCAGTGTTCAAGGTGCAAAATGGAGTGGCATGAGCCTGGGGTGGAGGACAAGAGAAGGGCCAGTGATGCATCAGCCCATCGATCAGAACAATTTGAGACTTACCCCCATGATTGTTGGGAGACCGTTGCTCAATTTTAAACAGGAGTGTAATGACTGGATTCACATGCTAAAAATAAAATAAGCAGTAAGAGATGGAAAAGCAACAACCAAACTGCAAAACTACTTGGGCCTCTGTACAGGGGAAAACAAAGATTTGAACAAGTATTTTCATGTTGCAGAATTTACCCCATGGGAATAATCTGCTAGCAGAACAAAGAATTATGTATGAAAGTATCTATTATAGTTAAAAAGACCAAAACCATTCTGGCTGCTGTGTGAAGAGAATAAATGCTAATAAGTCTTGCCTGTTTCAGAATCAAATGAGAGAAAACTATGAAAAGGCTTTGTAAGTGGTAATATGGGTACACGTTTGAGACGGACCCAAAAGCTCCCCATCCTCCAACTCTCCATCCTCCCCCAGTAAAATGCTGATTATCCCAGGAGCTTAAGGCTTTAAATCTATTAAAGGGGAAATGTCCCAAGGAGGCTCACTCTCTGAGCTAAGCAAGACAAAGACAGAACCTCAGCCCCAAAGGGACTAGAAGCAGTGATTCTCAACCCTGGCTGTACGTTAGAGATACCTGGTATGGAGCTAGCCTTGAAAATGACCCCCAAAGAACCTTACTCCCTTGTGTACCAGCCCTTGTGCAGTCCCTCCCATACTGAATATGTATATACTAAGTAACCAAAATTACATTGTGGAAATGATGGAGTGTGACTTTCAAGGCTGGGCCAAAAAACACATTGTGGCTCTGTCTTGCTCTCTCTTTCCTGGATTATTTGCTGTGGGAAAAGCCAGCAGCCATGTTGTAAGGATGCTCAATCAAACTTGTGGAGGAGTCCATGTGGCAAGTAACTGAGGTCTCCTAACAACAGCCATATGAAAGAATCTTGTGAAAAGAGACACTCCAGCTCCCAGCTGACATTTTACCTGCAACTTCATGGGAGACCCTGAGCCTAAACTACCTAGCTACACCATTCCCTAGCTTCCTGATCCACAGAGACAGTGAGACAACACATACTTTTTGTTTTAAGTCATTTTTTGGAGTAATTTGCTATATAGTATTAGATAACCAATCCTCCTGGGGAGCTTTGAAAAATCTCTATGCACAAGTCACATCCCCAGAAATTCTGATTCATTTGGTCTGGGGTGAAATCTAGGCATTGGTATGTTTAAAAGCCCTCAGATGAATAATGTGCATCCAGGATTGAGAACCACTGGACTGAAAAATTGAGTGAGCAGGTCAACAAAGCAGGGATTAGGTATAGGGTATTGCCTCAATTTCCAGGGCTAAAACTTGGTTTAGGCTACGAGTTCTACCCTGGAATAAGTCTAAAGCCTAGTGTGGATCAGAGCCCAGGGTCATGGTGTGCTGATAGTCAGTTGTCTTGGTGTCTACAGCTTCTGTGGATCCCTAAATTTCCCTTAGGACACAGGGAAGGAAATCAAGTGGCCTTATTGGAGGGAAGAAGAGAAGTCCAGAGCCAGTCAGGTAAATCCACTTTCTACAGTCCATAGCTTTGATCCACAAACCCTCCATGCAGTCCTCCACCTTTGGAATGCAAGTGTGCCGGATGCCCACTTCTCCACTGATGGACAGCCCTCCACCTTCCTCCCACCCACCATTGTTTTCTGTCCAGACCACGTTCCTGTCTCTGAATGTTCTCTTTGTAACTTATGAGCAATGATGACAGCCAATTCTGAAAACCTTTGTCTGTCCTCAAATTTCCATGACTAATGAGACATTGTTCCCATCTCTGCACAATAACTCAGGAGGCTTGGCTGTCTCTTTGTACTCCCTCATGTTATCATCCTGATGAAACCTGCAATAAAGTAATTAAAGTGATTAGAAAGGGAGTCCTAGCAGATGAAGATGCTGAGGAGATGGTCAGATATTGTGAGCTCACCCAGTTGATCTCAGCCCTGCATGTCAGGGTAAGGTGTCTGGTCTCCTGGGACTCTCCTGTGAATGGGTGCTAGTACCAACTTGCATCTGCGGGGTACCAATGATTTCAGAAGCATTTTAGACTGTTTTTTAGCACGAGTAACATGGTAGGTGTAGAAGATACAGAATTTAATAAAACCCTCTTCTTGTTCTCAAGGAGCTTTTGGCTTAGTAGAGACAAATAACAGAAAAGATAAGACTGTGATGAATACTTTCCTTAGGGACTGAGACAGCGCAGAGGAGAGGCACCTTGTTCAGCCTAGGTAGTTTTTTGTTTTGTTTTGTTTTTTTTTGAAACGGAGTCTCGCTCTGTCGCCCGGGCTGGAGTGCAGTGATGCAATCTCGGCTCACTGCAAGCTCTGCCTCTCCAGTTCACGACATTCTCCTGCCTCAGCCTCCTGAGTAGCTGGGACTACAGGCGCCTGCCACCACGCCAGGCTAATTTTTTATATATTTTTAGTAGAGACGGGGTTTCACCGTGTTAGCCAGGATGGTCTTGATCTCCTGACCTCGTGATCCGCCCGCCTTGGCCTCCCAAAGTGCTGGGATTACAGGTGTGGGCCACCGCGCCCGGCATAGCCTAGGTAGTTTTGAACAAAATGAGATCTGAGGCATTTTGTTGCCTGAGCAAAGACAGTGGGGGCATTAATATGACAGAAACAGTAGGTACAATGTACTGATATAAGAGCATAGGGCTTTCCAGGGAATCGTAAGCAACTCCTTGCATGTCTAAATATGTTCCTAGAAACCATGGCTAAGGGGAGTGGCCCAATGGTAACTGGTGAAAAATAACCTGCTTAAGTTGAACATCAGCCTATGCACAAAAGGGATCCAGTGCACAGGAATCACTACCAGCAAAATACATCCTTGATCCAACCTGCCACCATATCCAGATCCTACTTATTTCACAGACTATAGAACCCTCCCCTTTTATTGTACTAGCCTAGTGTTTGCTCCAGTCCCATCTCCAGAACCAGGGCTTTGATTTGCATTCTTTTCGGTTGCATGACCCACTGAAACCCTGGCTCCTTGCTGGTCTTGTCCTCCTGTCTCCTGCTTAGGTCATGTTAAAACTGGCCTCAATTACCTTTCTGACTCTCATCTGGGCCTCAGTGCCTTCTCTTATGAACTGCATCCATAGACAGTCTTAACACTTTCAAGGGTTTTATGAGACCAGGAGCTGGAAGGAGGAGGCCTGGGAAGTTAGAAACCCAAATGTCTGATGGGACTCCAGGGGGAAAATCTAGAAGGGGCAGAGGCATTAAGAGTAGGTCACCAAGTATGCAGAATGAAGGAAATAAAGTTGGGGGAATACAGCATTAAAAACTGGTTACATAGGTAAGGGGCTCCTGGATACTCTACTTCACATCACTGACCCTACAATAGAAATCATAATTGTCAATGCCTTCATCTAGATGTAGGGCTGGGAAAAAATAATGTAAATGTTAAGTGGCCAGTGAAGCAATGCAGGGTGCTGGGGCCACAGCAACCTGGAGAGCCTGTGGTCCATCTAATTGTGAACGCAGCTACTCAGTTCCAACCCGCAGCCGCCATGTGGAAATGTGGGTCCAGTGCAACCAGACACTGTAACCTCTCAAGATAAACCAATAATCTGGATTTTAATGGAAAATACTTGGCAGTTCAAATAAAAACAAACAATTAGAAAACTGTACATAGATAAAATGAAGGCAGATGGTTTTTGAATTTCACTCTCTACATAAAAACAAACAGAGCAACTAGAGACCAAAGCTCCTAAACCCATGGACATTTATTAAATGTCCATGCACACTGGGTAATGAGGTCCAGCACACTGGGTAATGAAGTATCCCCATGAACCCCAAATGCAAGCAGGTGAGGACAAACCACTAACGACCACAAGCCCTGCCTGGTCTCAGCATCTATCTGAGAGGATGCAGAGGGAGGCAGCAAGGTATATGATAGATTTGAGAAAAAGAGAATCCCCATATAGCCAGCATGTCCTCACTGGAAAGCACAGGGGCAATGTGATAACATTAGCTAAAACTGGGAAGGGATCTGCCCACTCCATTCGTGGGTTCGTGACAACATCTGAAAGGACGAAGCAGTCCAGACTCTATAAATGTTCAAAATTGATCCGCCGGGAGTCCTCCTTCCAGAGTCCACATACTGATGAGAAACTGCAGGGTGTGGAATCAAAGTTGAGTACAATAGGGATGATAGAATCAGAAGAAAGAGGTCGGGAGTGGTAACTCACGCCCGTAATCCCAGCACCTTGAGAGGTCGAGGCAGGCAGATCACTTGAGCTCAGGAGTTTGAGGACAGCCTGGTCAACATGGTGAAACCCTGTCTCTACTAAAAATACAAAAATTACCCAGGAATGGTGGCACACACCTGTAATCCTAGCTACTCAGGGAAGCTGAGGCATGAGAATCACTTGAACCCGGGAGGCAGAGGTTGCTGTGAGCTGAGGTCGCAGCACTGTACTCCAGACTGGGTGAAAGAGTGAGACTCTGTCTCAAAAAAAAAAAAAAAAAAAGAAGAAGAAGAAAGAAAAAAAGAGAAAGTCCATATAAAAACTGGGTAGAGGAAGAGAGTCAGGAAATCTCAGAAGATGCTATATTTTAAAATATTGCACAAAAAAAACAAAAGAAGGAGCTCTGTGAAGTTAGAAAAGCTAACCTGAACCAGGCCTCCCTCACAAAGCCCAGGAAAATGATGATTGCATAAAAATAAACATCATAAAAATATTGAGGGCAAAACCCACACAATATCATTATAAGAACAAAGAGAATAAGGTATAGGACAACTTCTCTATAGAAGTGAAAGTACACCAGTAAGATATGCCCACAAAAGAGATCAAAACTATAATGCACTTTATTCCAAAATAACTGAAAAGACATTAAGAAAATGATGCAAGGACAACACAAATGAGAATGTAAAAAATACTGAAAGACCATGGCAAATCGCAGGCAAGAATGAGAAACAAAAGAAAAAAGTCACTTCAGAATGAAGACCAAACTAGAAGGATCACAAGAGTAAATTAATACAATTGACCCTTGAACAACATGAGGTGGAACTGCGTGGGTCCACTAATATGTAGATTTTGTTTTGCCTCTGCCACCCTTGAGACAGCAAAACCTCCTCTTCCTCCTCCTCCACACACAGTCTGCTCAATGTGAAGACAACAAGAACGAAGACCTTTATAATGGCCAGGTGCAGTGGCTCATGCCCATAATCCTAGTACTTTGGGAGGCCCGGGTGGGAGGATTGCTTGGGCTCAGGAGTTCGAGATCAGCCTTGGGAACATAATGAGACCTTGTCTCTACAACAAATACAAAAATTGACTGAGCATGGTGGCATATGCACGTAGTCCCAGCTACTTGGGAGACTGAGTGGGAGGATCCCTTTGGGAGGATCCCTTGAGCCCAGGAGGTCAAAGCTGCTGTGAGCCATGATGGCTACACTACATTCCAGCCTGGGCAAAAAAAAGACTTTATTCACCTCCACTTAATGAATAGGAAATATATTTCCTCTTCCTTAGGACTTTCTTAATAACCTTTTCTTTAGCTTTCTAGAGTACAGTATATAATGCATATAACATACAAACCATATTCATCAACTGTTTGTGTTATCAGTAAGTCTTCTGGCCAACAGTAGACTATTACTAGTTACATTTTGGGGGAGTTCATTAAAAAGTGGGCAAAGGACATGAACAGACACTTTTCAAAAGAAGATATACATGTGACCAACAAGCATATGGAAAAAAGCTCAACATCTCTGATCATTAGAGATATGCAAATCAAAGCCACAGTGAGACACCATCTCACACCAGTTAGAATGGCTATGATACAAAGTCAAAAAATAACTGATGTTGGCAAGGTTGCAGAGACAAAGGAACACTTATGTACTGTTGGTGGGAGTGTAAACTAGTTCAACCATTGTGAAAAACAGTGTGGTGATTCCTCAAAGACTTAAAAACAGAACTACCATTCAACCCAGCAATCCCATTACTGAGTATATAGCCAAAATAATAGAAATCGTTCTATCATAAAGACATGCACGTGTATGTTCACTGCAGCACTAGTCACAATAGCAAATACATGGAATCAACCTAAATGCCCATCAATAGTAGACTGGATAAAGAAAATGTGCTACAAATATACCATGGAATACTATGTAGCCATTAAAAAAATGAGATCATGTCCATTGCAGGAACATGGATGGAACTGGACGCCATCATCCTTAGCAAACTAACACAGGAACAGAAAACCAAATACCACATGTTCTTACTTATAAATGAGAGATCAATGATGAGAACACATGGACACATAGATGGAAATGGGCTCTATCAGAGGGTGGAAGGTGGGAAGAGGGAGAGGATCAGGAAAAAATAACCAATGGGTACTAGGATTACTACCTTGATGACCGGCCAGGCACAGTAGCTCACGCCTATAATCCCAGCACTTTGGGAGGCCAAGGTGAGTGGTTATGTGAGGTCAGGAGTTCAAGACCAGCCTGGCCAACATGGTGAACCCTGTCTCCACTAAAAATACAAAAATTAGTGGGGTGTGGCAGCATGTGTCTGTAATCCCAGTTACTTGGGAGGCTGAGGCAGGAGAATTGCTTGAACCTAGAGGCAGAGGTTGCAGTGAGCCAAGATCGTGCCAGTGCACTCCAGCCTGGGCGACAGAGCAGGACTCTGTCCCAAAAAAACAAAACAAAACAAAACAAAAACGAAAACAAAAAACCCTAGGTGACGAAATAATCTGTACAAAAAATCTCCATGACACAAGTTTACCTACATAACAAACCTGCACATGTACTCCTGAACGTAAAAGCTAATAAAAACAATGGCTTAGGGAGTCAAAAATTATACATAGACTTTCCACTACATGAGGTGAGGGTGGGGCACGTTGTTCAAGGGTCAACTGTAGAACACATTGTACAAGAGAAACAGAAGGTTAAAAAGGAGGAAATTTTTAAAAATCAAAAAGTAAGCCAGATGGGGTGGTAAGAACTGTGGTCCCTGAGGCAGAAGCCTTGTTAGTGCCCAAGAGTTCAAGACCAGCCTGGGCAACATTGTGAGACCTTCTCTCAACAAATAAATAAATAAATAATAAATAAATAAAATAAATAGAAAAAAAGACAAATGGTATTTGAGAAAAAATGAAAATACTGCACAGTGGCATAGAATATCTATTACATAATAATAGAAGTCCCTGAAAAAGAAAACCAAAGTAAGGAAATGGAGCAAATACTAGACATTATAATTCAAGGCTTTCCTGAAATAATGATACAGATAGTAACAAATCTAAATCTGCATATAGAAAGAACACAAACACAGTGTACCTGAAAAATTGT